GCTTTGGTTTGTGATCCAGAGGTGACACATGACCGACCCAGTTTTCTCCCATCTGCTACAAAGGACTTTGATCAGGCTTCATGAGCTCGACAACACACACTAACCGTACTAGTTCAATGCCATCATGTGTACATTGCAGGTAGTTGTCATATTGCCAACATACCCTGATGTCATCCTATGTCTATTAAGAGAAGTCTCCCTATGCGCCCGGTGGCAACAACAATAAGCAGTAAGAAACGGTTATTATCTATACTATAATCTACACAGTACACAGTATATGGCCCTACGGGATTGTTACTGCCTAAGTCCAGACTCCACAGAATGTTCATTAAATCATTTCAAAACTCCCGAGCCGTCAACTTCCAAGAATTGGGGGCATGCTGGCACCCACTGCTCCAGTATTGAAGGGACGGTGAACAATGTTCCGTGTTGCATGGACGAACCTCGGACCGAGAGACTTCCGTCTACAGAAAAGATCTCGGTTTTCCGCTCTGCCCAGTTAGTCTTTACTGCTCAGCATTGTACACAGAAGTGGATTGTGGTAGTACAGTGTCACAACTGAACGGGACATTGACTTTGTCGTGTCTTGCATCAGACAAGGGGGCTTTATATATGTTTCATTTTGCCAATTCTCAACTGGAGCCTATGGTGGCGCAGAACTCAGCCAGGACCACCAGTTGCCCACATCCACAATGAGCAAATCTGACAATGGCGTTCATGCAAGCTGCATCGCTATCACACTCTGATCCTGATCAGATCATCGCCCCCTATCTATGCTAAGCTCGGAGTAGAATAGAGATAAAGTATGGGCGACCATCTGTCCCATCCCATAGGACCCAAGATCCGGGTGGCACTGGATAACCGCAATAGTTGGTGGAGAGGGAGTGGAGCCGGCGTGGCCGAATTCTTTGTGATTGTGCGAGAGATTGCCATCCCGGACGCCTGGAACCAGCCATGATGGGCTTCGAGTCACCAAACAGACTTTTTCCCCTTTCTTTTTGGGCGGCGCGAGGGTACGTCAGTGCCTAGTGGGAAAGCCTGTCTTCTCACCGTTCCCCTCGCTCGCCCCAGAAAGAACTCCAGCAGGGGAGTTTATCCCAACTTCATCCTCATCTTTATAGCCTCCAGGCGTTTTATCCACCCAGGAGTGCCATTTGAACCGCCCATCTCCAGAATTACCGTCTCTGGCAAGCTAGGGTGCCTGTTAGTGTCGGGCCAGGCCGATGACAAGCTTGCTGGTCGTTGGTTGATTGCAGCGGCGCACTCCACCGTCTTTGCGGCCGATGCTCTCCGGACCAGCCAGAGCCCCTATCTGCTAATTATCCAACGCATCATCCGAGCCGGTCTCGCCGGGGTGCTGTTCCATCCCAGCTTCTAGACGCTTAGCTTGTCTCTCCCACCAGCGCATCTTGATTAATCCGGGGATCCTTCAGAAGAGGAGAAGGAGGGGATGATGGGGCTGCAGGACACGATGACCGATGAGAAGAAGTCATCGACGATCCAGGTGGGCTAGACCCATATTTCCTTGTCATTCTACATACTATTCATGGTTTACTACTATCTACATCTTCACTATCTTGATCGCGACTGGTTTCATTTCATATTGGCCCGACTGCTTGTCATCTTCCCCGGAATCCCTTCACGTGGTGTCCCCATCTATATCGTCCGATTTACCCCCCACCTGCATCGTGCATTTACTTTTACGTGAGACATCATCACATCTGACACATCCACCATCTGCTGTTATTGGCTCTCATCTCCTTCTCGGAATCTGCAATGCTGATGATCGTCTTCGTGCTTTGTCTAGGAGCCGTCGTTGAATGGGACTAGCGATGCCTCCAGCATCCTGAGCGACACACGCGCTCAGGACATCCTCCCCTATGAAGCCGACGATTCCCCATTTCCCGAAGTGCGCGCGGTCGTCAAGCCGGTTGACGACCGGCAGCTCCCCGTCAATACTGTTCGCATGTGGGTGATTGGTATGGTCTTCACAATTGTATGTACTCTCCCTCCGACCGTGATGCTACTGCAAATTGGGGAAGTAAATCGCTCATCAGTTATAGGTCGGAAGTGGCTTGAACCAATTCTTTAGTCTGAGACAACCCAGTGTGACTATCAGTGCTCTCGTTGCCCAGCTCCTAGCATTTCCGGTCGGATGTGCGTGGGCGCAATGGGTGCCCCTGGGCTGGTTCAACCCGGACCGCCATTTCAACATCAAAGAGCATGCACTGATCACAATTATGTCCAATGTCTCTTTCGGGTCGGCAGCTGCAACTCAAGTGATCGAGGCCATGGTTAAATTTTACGATATGCCCTCTCATGGAGGATTTGAGATCTTATTGATGATTACCACGCAACTGTTTGGGTTTGGTCTGGCGGGGATGGCCGCACGCTGGCTCGTGGGTCCGGCCACTATGATCTGGCCGCAAGTCTTGTCGAACGCCGCTTTGCTTTCGACCCTGCATTCGCGCCAGAATCTGATGGCAGATGGCTGGGTAATTAGCCGACTTCGGTTCTTTATGATTGTATTCGTGGCTGGGGCAATCTGGTACTTCGCTCCAGGCTACCTTTTCACAGCCCTAAGTACATTCAGTTTCATCTGCTGGATCGTACCGGACAATGTGGTGGTCAACCAACTTTTTGGCCAAAAGACAGGGTTGGGCATGTCCTTGTTGACCTTCGACTGGGCACAGGTTGTCTACGCCAACCAGAGCCCCCTTTTAGTCCCATTCTGGGCAGGCCTTAACGTTATCGGTTCGTTTGTGCTCTTCTACTGGATCATCTGCCCGATTATCTATTATACCAACACGTGGTATTCGGCCTACCTTCCTCTGCTGAACCCAGATACGTTCGACAATACGGGCAAGCCATATAATACAAGTCGCGTAATGAACGCAGACGGAACATTCAATGTGGAGGCATACCGCAACTATTCCCCCATGTTTCTCCCGGCCGGGTATGCTATGACGTATGGTGTGGCTTTCGCGAATCTGACAGGTATCTTCGTCCACGTCGCACTGTATCACGGGAAAGATCTGGTTGAGCAATGGAAGGGTAGGAATGCGAAAGACGTTCATGCCCGGATCATGGACACCTATGAGAGTGTGCCGTGGTGGTGGTTTGGCGGCATTACGGTTGTAATGTTTGCGCTGAGCATAGTGGCCAACGAGGTCTGGCGTACGGACCTCCCGGCGTGGGCGGTTCTTCTGGCATATTTGCTACCCATCATATACATCATCCCCGTTGGTATCATCAAAGCGATCACCAATATATCCAGCAACCAACTAAATTTGATTACCGAATTTATCGGTGGCTATGCTTTCCTAGGACGACCAGTCGCAAACATGGCGTTCAAGTTTTACGGCTATGCGGGCGTGTCGCAGGGACTCGAGTAAGTGTCTGCATGGTCTGCAGGGAGATAAGAGCTGACCGATGTATAGATTTGTGGCCGACATGAAATTGGCGCACTATCTCCATATCGCGCCACGAACGCTGTTTGTCGCGCAGGGAATGGCCACATTGGTCGGTGCCGTTGTTCAGTGCGGTGTGACTGTATTCATGATCACTCGGATCCGCGGGGTCTGCACCCCTGAGGCTGAGGGAGGCTTTACCTGCCCTCATGGCCAGGTAACTTACTCGTCATCCTTGATCTGGGGTAAGTGTCGGCCCGACCACTAAACTTCGTGGCTTTTCCGTTAAAGTTTTTGTCTAGGTGTTCTCGGTCCCGATCGAAACTTCAGTCCCGGACAGATGTACGGGAATCTGCTTTGGTTCTTCCTTGTTGGACCCGCCGTCGTGGTGATCACATGGCTCCTGGGCCGCCGATGGAAGAAGGTCAACTATCTTTCTTGGCCCGTTGCGTTTGGTGCCATGAGCCTCGTCCCTCCTGCGACGGGAATCAACTTTTCGTCGTGGTGGTTGGTCAATGTGATCTTCAATGGGGTTATCAAACGGCGCAAGCCTGCCTGGTGGTCAAAGTATAGTAAGTGGTTCTTGATCGGTCTTGCTCGCGGCCAGTTGCTAATGGAGTTGCTGTAGACTATGTGCTTTCTGCCGCACTCGACTCCGGGGTTGCCGTGTCGACCGTCATTATATTCTTCTGCATTATTTTACCAGCTGGGTCATTGAAGTGGTGGGGCAACACCGTGTATCGGAATACAGCCGATGCACACGGTGTGCCATATAACAGACTTCCCGATTCGGGATATTTTGGCCCTGCAAAGGGGACCTGGCAATAACAGATGAGGGCTTTGAGGCGTTTTGGTTGATTTCAGTAATGATTTGATTTCGGTCGGCATAAATTTTATCATATATAAAACTAGAATTAATGCATTAATTATTTTTTATCAATTTCGTGAGTAAGTCCACAAGATAGTGTACGAAGTTTGCAGCGTAGGAAATTTAGGAAATGTAGGGGGCGGATGGGTAAACCGGTGTTAGCCCCGAGCCTTGGGTTTGTCTGCGAGTCCTTCGTGTTAAAGCATCATAACCAGGGAACCTTGAGGGGAGGTGGGTTAAGGTTCAGGGATCGGGAGGTTCGGGCGGCGGTGTAGATATCCTCCTAAGCAAACTGTGACTGCAATTGCCCGCATTGCAGTTTAACAAATGTGGTGCACCCGTCAAAGTTTGGAGGGAGGGAGAGAGAGAGAGAGAGATAAAAGAGTCACTGGCAGGATTGATCGACCATTTGGGGCTGAGGGGATAAAGACTAATAATAAACCTTTTCCCTTCCCACCATTTCTCTCTCTCTCTCTCTCTCTCTCTCTCTCTCTAACTAAGGACCAAGACCTCCCTCGGGTGGATACGCCCCTCTCTCCCCCCGGCAGCTCACTAAGACTAAAGACCGAGCTACGGCTGCAACTCCGTTCACTCTCGCCCAGTTCTTTTCCCATCAATCCAAATCCATCCATCTCATTCCCCCACTCAATAATTCCTCCCCCCGGTATGGCCTGCGGTTCGAGCCGCCTTCCCTGGCCTCCTTCTCCGTCCCTTCCACCACCATGACCAACCGTGACCCCGAGTTTCGGCATCAGCTGGGCAAATTCCGACTCGATCCCCTTCCGATTCCTTCTCATCCTGCATCGCTTCCTCCTCCTCCTCCTCCGCCGCGTCCTGCTCACCCCAGTTCCGTCCCTTCTCCGCAGTCACTGCCGCCGCCTCCATCCGTACCGCTTCAGCAGCAACAGCCACTCCCAACAGCACCACCGTCACTCCCTCAGTCTCATCAGCAGCAGTCTCAACCAACCCCGGCCTCATCGCGATCCTCCCCATCACAGATTCCTCATCCTCGCAGTAAACGAGTATCCACAGCGTGCGACTTTTGTCGAAAACGGAAGAAGAAATGTGACTTCCGCTACCCGAACTGCTCCGCGTGTACTCGCGCCGGTGTCCGCTGTACCATCCCTCCGCCGGGTCCCCAGGTCGCTGCGGCGTCTGTTCCTCGAGATCAGTTGGAGAATCTACAAAACCGGGTACGATGGCTGGAGGAGCTCTTGCGCCGCAAAACAGGCATCTCCGTCGCCGACCGGCCTACGGGGACTGCGCTGGATGGCGAGGGCGACCCGGACTGGTGGTACCAGGTACCAGCCTTGATGATGACTCGCGGGAGTTCAACACATTCAACACCCACAACAACGGCAACAGCGCTGTCCAGCAGCCCTGCTCCTAGTTCCACTGCGGTAGGCACCGAGTTGCCTAACGTAGGTGAGTTGTTTCGCGACCAGTTGGAGCATCGACGACCCTCCATCGCGCGTCCGGTAGCATCCGCTCCTCGCGTGATGCGACTCGCCTCACTTCCAGAGGCGAAATCAGTGGCATTGCGATACTTTGATAGTCTAGGGTACCAATATCCTTTTCTCCATCGGGAGGAGTTTATGGCTCATCTTGATCGCATCTATGCGGGGGAGGTCCCCGCACCGGAGGTTCATCACTCGTATCACATCACCATCGCTACGGCCTTGTTGATCGGATCTGCCGACGAGACACAGGCTGCCGAGTTCTACAATGTTAGCAATGAGACCATGGCGTTGGCGTTACAAAACGAAGATTTGGCAGCTGTTCGAGCCCTTTTAAGCGTCGCAGTGTATACAATGTTTGCGACCACGGGCCCCAGTGTGTGGCACATCCTCGGGACTACTTTGCGTCTCGCCACCAGTCTTGGGCTGCATAAAGCCCGTCCAACGGGGAATGTGATAGAAGAAGAGATGGCCAAGCGGGCGTTCTGGAGTCTTTACAATCTTGATCGACTAATCGCCAGCACCCTTGGAAGGCCACTTGGAATTGCAGACGAGGACATTTCCATCGGCTTGCCGCGGGAATTTAATGACAACTGGACAGAAACCCCGGGGGCTAGTGCTATGACTATTCCTTTGCAGGTGGTGCGCCTGCGCCGGATTTTTTCGCGCATCTACCGCTACTGTAAGTCTCTTCTAACCTCTATGGCGCTCACCGTGTCCAGTTCCACTGACCGTGACAGTATTCAACAACCAACCGCCACCGCCTCCAACAGAGGTTGCAATCACGCTCAGTCATTTTCGCCAGGAACTAGACGACTGGCGACAGGAAGCACCGGTGTATGCACCCGCGCTTTTATACTCAACAAGTTACTACGACTATCTTTATGCGACAACCCTGCTCCTAATGTACCGACCTAGTCCGCGTAATCCGACACCCGATGCCACGAGCATTGTGAGCTGCGGAAACGCCAGCATCCAGGTCATTCGGTCCTATTGGGACAGCTATTCGCAGGGGAAGCTGAAGTGGATTTGGTTGACCCTCAGTCAAGTTTACTTCGCCGGCATCACAATCCTGTGGTGTCTAAACCACAATCTCCAGTCCGTCCGCGAAGGCCGCGGTGCTGCGTGGAAGCCCGAGGATCAGAGCATGCGACGGGCCATCCAGGCAGTAGTTGTCCTGCTGGAGGAATTTGGCAAGCGACGTCCGGGTGTGGACCGACTGGCGGAGACGTTCCGCAACCAGAGCACGATGATCTTCAGCCATCTGGCGTATCAGCAGGAACAGCAGCAGGAGCAGGAGCAGCAGCTTCAACAACAACAGCAGCCACAACCACCACCGCCTCCACCGCAACCACAGCCACCAATGCCACGACATCAACCGTTCCTTGAACAGCAGCCGCAGCAACAACCACAGCAGCAGCAGCCACAGCATATTTTGGTAGCACCACCGGTACCCCTAGCGCCGGTGCTGGATGACGTTCTCCTGGTAAATGGATCGGGGAATATACCCATGATTGACCCGCAACTGGCGGAGCAATTATTCTATTCCTATGATTGGTTCCAGGAGGAGATGGCGACATATTATACCCTTTAGTTGGATTATTATGACAATTTTGGAGGCAGATTTCTGTATTTGAGCTTACGGCTGTTGTGGTGTAGAAAATGTGGAGGCGCATTGCTACCCCGCTGTAGATAAAACCCCTAACAACGCTTATCTTCTGTCAACTCCACCACAACATCTTCATTATAGTCATTGTCAATCCCCCCAACTATTACCGTGGCCACTCCCCTCATGGCTTCTGAAACACCCAAAGCTCAAGCCTTCCATGGCACCTTCATTCACACACTCAGCTCTAAGCAACTAGAGATCCTTACTGAGACTTTCATCCTCCTCTCACCCACTGGCACCATCCAAGCCATCCACCCATCCACCCCCACAACTTCCATTTCAGATCTCCTTGCAGAATACCACTACTCTGAATCTACTTGCACAGTGACCATCTTGCAGCCTACCGAGTTCTTCATCCCCGGCTTCATCGACACGCACACTCATGCGCCCCAATGGGCCCAGCGCGGCACAGGGCGGGGCATCGATCTACTTACCTGGCTGGAGACCCTTACCTTCCGCCACGAAGCCAAACTCGCCGATTTGGAGTACGCCAAGTCGCTTTATGCGTCCTGCGTCCGCGGCGGACTCAAACAAGGAATGACGACCGCCTGCTACTACGGTTCCCGTCATGCACCGGCATCGGTCATCCTCGCTGAGACCTGCCTCACCCTGGGTCAACGCGCGCTGATCGGGAAGTGCAATATGACTCGTCACGCCCCGGACTGGTACCGGGATGCGTCGGTGGAAGAATCCCTCCGCGAAACGGAAGACTTTATTGCTCAAGTTCGGAAACTTGATCCCACACATGGACTAGTGACACCGGTGATTACACCGCGGTTCGCAATATGCTGTGAGGAAGAACTATTGGCTGGGCTTGGGGCTGTCGCAACTCGGAATTGCGACTTGCCTATTCAGACACATTTCAACGAGTCGCGGAGTGAGGTGGACTTTACGAGGTCCCTGTTCCCCAATGATAAGAGTGAAACGGAGCTCTATGAGCGGCTTGGGCTCCTGAATGACCGGAGCATACTTGCTCACTCGATCTATCTCTCCGATGCAGAGATCGAACGTATGGCGGAGCTGCAGTGTGGGATCGCTCACTGCCCTATTCCCAATGTTACGATGGATGAGTTCATGGTTGCCCCCGTGCGAGAGTATCTTCGTCGGGATATTAAAGTCGGGTTAGGTACGGACTGTGGAGGAGGCTATTCAAGCTCCATGCTCGACGTGATGAAGGCTGCCTTTGTGGTGTCGACGGCACGGTGTACAATGACGCAAGGACAGGACCAGCCTCTGAGTCTCACGGAGGGGTTCTACATGGCTACTCTGGGCGGAGCGCGGGTATGTGGACTGCAAGAGAAGGTGGGGAACTTCCTGGTAGGCAAGGAGTTTGATGCGCTGCTTGTTCGGACGCAGGAGGAGGGCGTAATGGCGCCAGTGCAGGAGGAAGACGGAGTGCCGACGGTGTTTGAGAAGTTCTTGATGACGGGAGATGACCGCAATATTGGACGTGTGTTTGTCAAGGGACGGGAGGTGCATACTGCGCGTTGAAATAATTGTCGTGTATTGACTGCTATATTTATCGATACTTGGAAAGCATTGCGTGTACAATCTCATTGTGAATGGTTCGTTCCTTATAAAAGTAGAGAATCGGGTGGAGACGGGGGTTTGATCCACACCTCAGGCACCGGTAAGGCTGAGCCCGTTTCCGGTTTTGTTTCACAGCCTCGTCCACTGCTTCTCCCTCTCCACTTTCTGAGTCTCTCGCTCCCTCCTCTGCTTTTCCCCCTCCGTGGCAGGGGTTTTAAGTCTTAGCCTCCAACCCTCCTCCCTCAGGATTCTGCCTTCTTTCGTTTACCCACATCTATCCTTGAGGGAGTCTTCTTATCCTTATTTCCTTTCTTTATGGCCTCCTAATCATCCCTAATTCTAGTCACTCGCGATCGCCGTGTCTTGAAACCCACTCCTCGATAACGGTTCCCTAACAACGGCCATTCATTCGCTTCACCCTTTATTTTCTCACCCACGAACTTCTTAAATTAATAGCACCATGGCGGAAGAACCTCAGGTCATGTCGATCCAGCAACGGATTGCGGCACTTAAACAAGCGCAAGTTGGTCAAAGCTCAGGAATCGACACCAGCGAGCCTGTGCTTGTCCAGCCCACTCCAATGCCCACCCGTCCAGCTGCTCCCCCGCGACCCAAGACCTTCATCACCAACAATACCAACGACAGTTATAATAACCATGCTGCTGGCAGCAATGGCTCCATCTACAATCGTTCATCCGCCTCAAATGATGCGGGCCCTCCTAGGCCTGTCCCACGTCCCGCTACTGCACCAGCACCGCCCCCAGTGAAACACAAGACACCCCCTCCTTTGCCTGCTCGCAAGCCCTCCGACCAACAACGCCCAGCACTACCACCGCGGAGACCGACGCAACCCTCTCATAAAGGCTCATTGGAGTCTATGGCCTCAGATATATCTAGATCGACAACTACAAGTACCGGGAAGACATCGGCTAGCTCAATAAGTGCAGGCCCTGGCCGCTCCCTGCCCCCCGCTTGGGGCGAGGCTGAGTTGCCTCCATTGCCCCCCAAACGCCAGCCACAACCACCACCGCGGCCGACGCCCACTACGAGAAGTAGTAGCAGTAGCAGCAGGCTATCTCCACCTCGTCCGTCTTTGCCCTTGCGACGGAAATCCAGCCAGAACAACTACTCTGTGGAAAGCAACGATTCGCAGGCTTCCCGGCTGCCTCCTCCACTGCCGTCTAGGACAACAAGTGACAGGTCGCTGACTGTCAACGAAGAGGAGGAAAAGAACCCACCGCTACCAGTTCGGAGGCTGCCCCCGCCCCCGCCGTCTACCGATACGCTGGGTAAGCTCAAACAATCCGGATTCGCGGCGATCAATAAATCTTTTGGCAGTACCAATGGAGGTGTCAATGAGCCCAGCTCCAATGGCGTGCCCCCGCCTGTCCCCCTGGCATCGCGTCCGGATCTCTCTAAAATCCAAGCTACGAAGCCTCGTTTGTATGCTTCCAATGCGCCCACAGTGCCAACACCGGTTGTGTGCCTGAAATGCCGCGACTTCTCAGCTGCCGATGCCCATGCAGCTCGATACCCGCGCACGTCTCTCCCAACACACGATCTGTCCTGGCTGGCGAATGAACTCACGGCACCGTTTCCGTCCCACACGGACAAAGCGCGTGTCATCTTCACATGGCTCCACCACAACGTCGCGTATGACGTAGAGGCCTTCTACAATAATCGGGTGAAGAATCAAACCCCAGCCAATACACTCGCGACAGGAATGGGTGTCTGTGAAGGGTATGCGGGGTTGTTCACTGCGCTTGCTACCCGTGCAGGTATGGAGGCGAAGACCGTCCACGGTCACGGTAAGGGTTATGGATATGTGGCTCCTACTCCTGGATCTCCGCTACCCCCGGTTCAAGGTGGCCATGCTTGGAACGTCGTCAGGATCGACAACGGGCAGTGGAAGCTGATTGACCCCTGCTGGGGTGCTGGGTGCGTCTTTGGCAAGGGGCAGCCTTACCAGCCAAAATTCGACCCGGCCATGTTCACGGACACTAATGATGAGCTGGGGCTGAAGCACTTCCCCGAAGACCGAACGCAGTTCTACCGTGACGATGGACGTCCGGAGATCAGCTGGCAGGAGTACCTTCTGGGTAACCCCAGTTCACTGCTGTGCGTTGAGCAGCCGGTGATCTTTGGGGAGGCGGAGAAGCACAGCATTGGAGTGCGGTCCTACCGCCCGGCTGCCAAGCAGATATCAGTGCACCAGGGAGGACCGGTGCGCTTCCAGTTCAGTCTGATCTGCGAGCACTGGACGCTGGAGTATCACACGCGGGCCAAGCCGGGGTTGTTCCTACTGATGGTGAAAGGAGTGGACGGGCAGAAGGAGGAGAGTCTCGTATTTACACACGTACGGGGATCGAACCCTAACGGCGGGGGAGATTTGTGGTACGTGGACGTGCCGGACTCCAGAATGCTGGGGGCGCCGGGCCAACAGGTGCCGATAGTGGTGCTGACCCGGTTCGGGGATCGAGCGGACTGTCGGGGGCTGACAGCGGAGGAATACCGGACGCGGGTTGGTCGGGTGCAAATGGAGTTTGTCTTCATTGCACAGTGGGATCTGGTGTAAGATGCGGCAAAGGGGGTCGGCATGGGCTGCCGGGTAATTAGGGTTGGCTGCCCTGCATGGGCTGAGTGTCTAGTAGACTAGTGTTTCTTCTTTTGTCTCTGCGTGGCTTTTTTGGCTTTTCCTTCCCCTCTTCTCCCGGCTTGGGGAGGCTTGTGTCTCACCCCCGACAGCGGACATGGTTTGTCCCGACATTTTCCGTAATGATAATGACCCTGTTCGTATATATATACACATATACCGCACATGAAGATGCGATTTTGGATTTGCAGCCACCAGCCTTTGATTGCATTACTCACATTACTTGGTACAGCGGGGACAGCCTGGCTCTACTAGTACTAGTAATAGTAGAATATGGGAGGGAAGCCATTGACGGGCGGAGAAAATCCACGAATCAGCCAAGGGAGCTTGAGTGGATGAGAAAAATTCAAACGTTAGTAGCCAACGGTGCTGGAATCCAGCACGTTAGAGAGTCCTTGGCGAAGGCTAAAAGGAGGGTACAATGTCGGCTAAATTCCAGTCCCATGTCATGGTTTAGTTGACCAGGAGTACTACTAGTAGGTAGCTACTTACTAGTATCATGTTGGGGTGACTGGGGTCCCCGCGATTGTTGCATGAGGGATTTATCTACTTGGTCATTGGGGAAGCAGATGGAAGAGAATTTCATAGAGTGGCTCAATAACATCATAGCCGACAGGGAATGAGAATCTGGCAATATGACTGGGGGTAGTAATTAAATCCTTGTAAAGAAATGATACGGGGGGGGCCGGGGTGTTTCCATTACCCAAAGCAAATCAATGTTTTCCTGTTCCTGTGTTATTGTGACTGGTTGTGATAGGGTACTTTCCGTAAGATACCCACCCATACTAGCCGGTCTAGGAAAGGTATACCATGGCCAAGACCCTGAAAGTCGAGATTTAAGCCTAATTAGGCTCTGAGCCGGGCGAGAGCCTGATTGCCTGAGAGTCGAGTCATGTGCTCTGGGGAAGCCGGTCGGTGTCTCTCCGCAATCTCAAGTCCCCCATCCTCTTCTCCATTTCCCCCCCCCCCGAACTGGATCTCGTTTGCTCGCCTTCACCGAATTTTAGCTATAATCGGTTCATATTAGATAACACCTCTGCATCGAGTCAGTTATAGTTACACTGTCGCTGCACCGTCCCCGCTGGCATTGCGTTGCTGGCCTGCAGGAATTTCCCAATCTACTCCGGACTGTATCCCGCCTTGGCCGGGAAAGGGAACGACAATGCCGATCCACCCAATCCCCGGAATCCTCCACCTCCACCTTCTCTGCCTCCACGCTTACGCTGGATCGCGGCCTCCGACTCTCGGCTGACCCGTCTTCGGTCTTCAGCCTTCAGGGTTGCCTGCCTTGCGTGTCCGATGGCTTTTCTGAACGTGCTGGCCGGCTTGGACCGCCGCCCACGCTTTCAGCCACCTACCCGACTACGGTCACATTCGGCCATCCCGATAAAGACATACCGCTGAAGTCGAGATAGAACGTGCCGTGCATCGTTCAGGTCGGGTGGATTCTGGATCATTCTCTCGCCCCCTCCCCTTCTGCTTCCTGATGGCTCGTTTCATGCCCACTCGACCCTCCAGACCATGTGCTTGCCCCGGTTTTTTCCCATGCGACGGATGGGCTCACGGCCAGCCGACTGACCCATGGGCAACGCCCCCCATGTCAGCTCCTGGTGGACCGCCTTTTGCTGCATGCATCCAATCGCTAGTCCAGCTGAACCTTGACCTAACCGGATATGCCTGTCTCTCCGCTAGTCAGAGGTCGGTCTAATCTCGCCTGGCATGGGTCTGCTTTGCCGTGCTAATCGGGTCGGAACAGTCCCTCTACCACCCTTTAGGTTTGACAATTCAACCGGCCATCATGGCGGTTTTCTGTGTCGACCCCGCGGCATTTGCTCTTGTCTCACTGTGGTTCATTTCATCTGGTGCCATCCGTTCCCGGGGTTCGCTTTCCTTAAATCCCCCGTCTTTTCCCCGGCTTCTCCTGCGTTCTTCTTTTGCTTTCTTCGGTGGTTTCCCGAGGTTTCTTTTTTCTTTCCCCCAGAATCTCCTGCCGTGAGAGGAACCAGCTGGCATCATGGCCATCGGCAATCTTTACTTCATTGCGGCCATCGCCGTCGTCGGCGGTGGTCTGTTCGGTTTCGATATCTCGTCGATGTCCGCCATCATCGAGACCGATGCCTATCTCTGTTATTTCAACCAGGCTCCTGTCACTTATGATGATGATGGCACGAGAGTCTGTCAGGGTCCCAGTGCTAGTGTGCAGGGTGGTATCACCGCCTCCATGGCTGCTGGTTCCTGGCTGGGTTCGTTGATCTCGGGTTTCATCTCGGATATCCTTGGTCGTCGTTCCGCCATTCAAATCGGTTCCGTTATCTGGTAAGTGCCTGACATCGCTGCACCTTTGGCTCGACTAACCATGCATGGCTGCATAGGTGCATTGGATCTATCATTGTCTGTGCCTCCCAGAACATTCCCATGCTGATCGTCGGTCGTATCATCAACGGTCTGAGTGTGGGTATCTGCTCCGCTCAGGTACCGGTGTACATTTCGGAGATTGTATGTCGATCCTATAATACCTCCTGCTGCATGTGGTGCTAACATTTTAGGCGCCTCCAACCAAGCGTGGTCGTGTCGTCGGTCTGCAGCAATGGGCTATTACCTGGGGTATTCTGATCATGTTCTAGTAAGTTCTTGCCCACCATCAGTTGCCGTCCCTCATCTCACACATGATTCAGCGTCTCCTATGGCTGCAGCTTCATTAAGGGTACGGCGGCCTTCCGGATCCCTTGGGGTCTACAGATGATCCCTGCCGTGCTACTGTTCTTGGGTATGATGCTCCTGCCCGAGTCGCCCCGTTGGTTGGCACGCAAGGACCGATGGGAGGAGTGCCACGCTGTCTTGACTCTCGTCCACGGTCAGGGTGACCCGAACTCTCCCTTTGTGCTGCGCGAATATGAAGAGATCAAGAGCATGTGCGAGTTTGAGCGTCAAAACGCGGATGTCTCTTACCTTGAGCTGTTCAAGCCTAACATGCTCAACCGTACCCATGTGGGTATCTTCGTTCAGATCTGGTCTCAGCTGACTGGAATGAACGTCATGAGTAAGTCCCTTCCAAGCCTGTACGGGTGGGTAGCGATACTAACTGTTCGTTCTAGTGTACTACATTACTTACGTCTTTGCCATGGCCGGCCTGAAGGGCAACAACAACCTGATCTCCTCCAGTATCCAATACGTGATCAACGTGTGCATGACCGTGCCGGCTCTGATTTGGGGTGATCAGTGGGGCCGTCGCCCGACCTTCTTGATCGGTTCCCTCTTCATGATGATCTGGATGTACATCAATGCCGGTCTGATGGCCAGCTACGGCCATCCCGCGCCGCCCGGTGGTCTCAACCACGTCGAGGCCGAGTCTTGGGTCATCCACGGCGCGCCCAGCAAGGCTGTCATTGCCAGTACCTACCTCTTCGTAGCCTCATACGCCATCTCCTTCGGCCCCGCCAGCTGGGTGTACCCCCCGGAACTGTTCCCTCTGCGTGTGCGTGGCAAGGCCACCGCCCTCTGCACTTCGGCCAACTGGGCCTTCAACTTCGCCCTCAGCTACTTCGTTCCCCCGGCCTTTGTCAACATCCAGTGGAAGGTCTACATCCTCTTCGGTGTTTTCTGTACCGCCATGTTCATTCATATTTTCTTCTTCTTCCCCGAGACCACGGGTAAGACCTTGGAAGAGGTCGAGGCCATCTTCACTGATCCCAACGGCATTCCGTACATTGGTACTCCCGCCTGGAAGACGAAGAACGAGTACTCGCGCGGTGCACACATCGAGGAGGTTGGCTTTGAGGATGACAAGAAGGTTGCTGGTGGACAGACTATCCACCAGGAGGTCACTACTACCCCGGATAAGATTGCTTGAGGTGAAAGATTAGTGGTCGATGATGATGGAGATGGGTGAGGGGGAGAGGACATACATGGTAGTTGAAGTATATACAAAAAGGAGCTAATTAGACATGTGTCGGCTTAATGCAAGATCAATAACAAATATAATTGTCCACTCGACATACTTGTGCAATATTCTTTGAAAACTTTCTATATTTTCAGCACTTCATACTAGATACTAATACCCCTAGTAAGTGGATACTATCGTGACCCTGAGAATCAGGTGATGGCTTCGCCGACCTAGGTAAGCACAGCATCACTCCAGCTAACTTCTATGTTGTGCTCACAACTTTGCACAATCCTGCACAATCCCCCAACTCAAACTAAAGAACATCAGTCAATCAGCTAATAGTAGCAGAATTGATCTACTTGTCTAATGCAATAATTCACTTTTGCATTCTGCTTCCAGAATAAATCAAGTACCTGCCTCCAGTGATGTCATTCTGTGAAACTTACCAACCTATTCTCTGCCCACCAGGTGGAGAGGATTTATTGACACTATGGTTCTTGAGCAATGGAGACATGACTCACCAATGGAGATAAAACGGACTAGACTATTGCTTGTTCACGGTGCGCGTTGATAGACTCGTCTGAATAATCACGCTGGTCTTACTAACATATCCCTGACAATATCCCTGACAATTATTAGCTAGCTTATGACAAAATGTCATACTTCCGACCCAAAATTCAACAAGCCACATCAAATCCTCCCCAACATCAATCAACGAAGAAAAGGGGGTTATCTCCCCTGGCTCTATCAAGAATAACTCAAGCTTTCCGCGTGGATTGTCCGACTCCGAAGACAAGCTTTAGTGTCTGGCGCTGATCGCCCGTCGTGGAACCACCACTAGTGTGAATGGTTTACCCACACACCCACGGCTTAGGCTTTACAGCCCGCTATCTATTGCTCTTGTGCAGATCAGATAATTGATTGTGTGTAGTGCTTTATTTTCCCGCTATGGTTGTGTTTTCTTTTGTCGGATTGGTGATAACGGTTTGGTGGTGGAATGAAACGGTTTGTTCTTGATTGATTATTGGGGGTTTAGTCGTTGAGCAACATCTTTGTCGCTTGCTTGGTGAAATCAACGAATGTGCTCTGCTTGCGGATGTCCTGAACAGCCTTTGGCTAACGACAATAGCACGGCAATTGGTGCTTGCACGGACAGCGGGTCTTGGTCAGGCTGATCCAGTGTGATCTGCACTAGTCAGGTTCCTTATTGGTGATGAATGTCGATGTCCCTTATCAGGGTTCGTAAGTCGATGCCATACCCTCTAGGCAGGGGTTTCTGCCGTTGGGATGTTGGAGTGCAAACGTCAGCGTGTCAAAGTGAAGTGATGCGAGTCAATGGGATCGGCAGCGTTATGTCAACTAGCATATATTTCCCGCAGCTCCCACCGTTTTTGCGTGATGTTTTGCACGCCACGCTTATTCTGTTGCTGCTGTCAACATGCGTGCCTCACTTCTCCTTTTCGGTGTTACGGCCGCTCTGGCTAGCCCAACGCCTCGTAACTATGTCGTTCATGAGCGGCGCGATGCATTGCCCAGTATCTGGGTTGAGGAAAGCCGGTTGGACAAGAGTGCTATGCTGCCTATGCGAATAGGGCTTGCTCAGTCCAACTTGGATCGTGGTCACGATTTATTGATGGAGCTGTATGTTGTCCGATCCCTCACTGGGACCAAGCTGATGGTTTAGATCTCATCCACAATCGCCTCGCTACGGACAGCATCTCTCCAGTGAGGAGGTGCATGACCTGTTTGCTCCGTCGAATGATGCCGTGGAGAACGTCCGAGCCTGGATTGAGTCCGCTGGCATTGCTCCAAGCCGTATCTCGCAATCCTACAATAAGCAATGGCTGCAGTTTGATGCCCATGCAAGCGAGGTCGAGCAGCTTCTCCAGACGGAATACTACATCTATTCTCACGCCGACACGGGAAGCTCCCATGTGACATGCCACGAGTGAGCCCATCTTCTACATGTCATGACACCGCTAACTGGTCAGATACCACGTGCCCGAGGCTATACAATCACACATCGACTACATCACACCAGGAGTGAAGATGCTGGAAGTGCGCGGCATGCCCTCCAAGAAGAGAGATACAGAGAAGCGCTTCCTTGGCGGTCTGCCCCCGATTCTCGCTCCACTACCAATCAATATCACCAAGATCTTCGACGACCCGCTAGCACACTGCGATTTGGCCGTGACACCAGACTGTGTTCGAGGTACGTTCATCCACCCGACTCCATGACCCACGCTAACGGTCCAGCCATGTACAACATCACCAAAGGAACAACATCCACAAAAGGCAACGAGCTCGGCATCTTCGAAGACCTAGGAGACATCTACAGTCAAGAAGACCTGAACCTTTTCTTCTCCAACTTTGCCAGGTCCAACCCCTCCATCCACCCCCTAAACCACAACTAACACCACCCAGCGAGATTCCCCAAGGAACCCATCCAACCCTCGACTCCATCGACGGAGCTACCGCACCGACAGACGTCACCAACGCGGGCCCCGAATCCGACCTCGACTTCCAAATAGCCTACCCGATCATCTGGCCCCAAAACACCATCCTCTACCAAACCGACGACCCGAACTACGAAGACAACTACAACTACAAAGGCCTCCTCAACAACTTCCTCTACGCCATCGACGGCTCCTACTGCAACGAAACCTCCTCCCTAGACCCTCAATACCCAGACCCCTCCCCAGACGGCTACAACTCCCCTAAGCAATGCGGCGTCTACACTCCGACAAACGTAATCTCCATCTCCTACGGCAGCCCCGAAGCCGAGCTCCCCATCGCCTACCAACGCCGCCAATGCCACGAGTTCATGAAACTCGGCCTGCAAGGCATCACGGTCGTGGTAGCATCCGGCGACTCCGGCGTTGCCTCCAGCACCGGCGCCTGCCTGGGCACCTCAGACAACATCTTCGTTCCGGACTTCCCAGCCACATGTCCCTACCTAACCGTAGTAGGAGGCACATACCTCCCGCTAGGCTCCGACGCCGCCAAAGACGAAGAAATCGCAGTCACCCGCTTCCCCTCCGGCGGCGGCTTCAGCAATATCTACGCTCGACCAACATACCAGAACCACTCCGTGGAAGCCTATTTTTCCACTACCTCCGACGAGCTCACCTACCCCTACTACTCAGAAATAAACTACACAGACTTCTCCAACGCAGACGGGATCTACAACCGCATCGGACGAGGATATCCAGATGTCTCTGCAATTGCAGACAACATCGTCATCTATAACCAGGGCGAAGCCACATTAGTGGGTGGTACCTCTGCCGCGGCGCCGGCGTTCGCGGCCATGTTGACGCGCATTAATGAGGAGAGGTTGGCGAAGGGGAAGGCCACGGTGGGGTTTGTCAATCCGGTGTTGTATGAACATCCTGAGGCGTTTAAGGATGTGACCGTTGGCGAGAATCCGGGGTGTGGGACGGATGGCTTTCCGGTTGCGAAGGGGTGGGATCCTGTTACGGGGTTGGGGACGCCGAGGTTTGAGAGGTTGATGGATTTATTCATGAGCCTTGATTGATGGGGGGAGTGGATTATGAGTGTCAGTTGGATCTGCTTTATGATAATGCTAGTATAGAAAGTGTTGTAATGCATGTGCTAGATGTCAATGTCATATGATATAGAAATAGAAAGAAAGGTCCACAATGTAGGAGGGGCTCGAGCAGACCATGAACCAATAAAGAGCATATAACATATAGATACTGATGCTACATAGCGGTCAAATAAGGAAAAGAGTTAACCCCCAATCTAGCAGGTACAGTCGTGGGAGAAGAGTTCACTACTTCAACTATTTTTTTTATTGACTCCAACTCCCCTCTTACATTGTTTCGAACAAGGCTGTACCCCTTCCACAACAACTTTCATTTAATGATCACTATCTATTCGCCAATTCCAGAACAGACAACCTAGTATTAGTGTCATCAATCAACGAATAACCCTCAACGAGACTCAGCACTGACGACACCATCCTAACGTGGTCATGGCTGATCGGACACGATATCCCTGCCTTCATGTATAAGTAAGGCTGTCAGCTGAAAAGCCCTTTCACTATAGTATCTACCAATTATCACGAAGGTAAGCAACATAAACTGCATTGAATGTGTAAATCAAAGATTTTTCTCTATCTGTACCCCTCCCCCGCATACCTAACCCTATACCCCCTTACAGCCCAGTACCTAACCTATACCTCCATCCACCGAGCGAAAGGCTTTTCTCTCCCTCTCTCCTCGAAAAACTTACACACAAAAAGCCAGTCATCTGCACAGAAATCTACCATCTACAATGTCCTCTGGATCCACATTCCGCAACCACTGTGTACAGATTGCCTCGCTTCTCCGGGCACAGATTTCAGAATCGACTCCTACCACCATCTACAATGCCTTACAAGAGCTCCAAAGCAATCGAGACAAACTTGCCGCGGCTACCGGAACGGCTGGAAGTGATCTCTCCCTGTCTGACATCATCAAACAAGCCGTTTCCGACTTGAACGAACGGAATAGCTTGATATCAGAGAATCAGCGGTTGAAGGACGAGTGCATTACCCTTCGCACATTATGCCGTGGTTTACAGGAGACCAACGGGGACCTTGAAGGTGATGTCAATCGACTACAGCGTGAGCATACCACGGTGAACGACAATCTTGCGGGAGCGTTGGGTCTAGGGGAATCTAGACCTGAGTTTTTGCTGCCCATCAAAGTACAGTTAAAAAAAATAAATAAACTAATGAGTTAGCAATGCAGACCATGCGCAGTCTATTACCGATGAGCTACAAAGCTGGAAGATTCACGCGAAAGAAACAGCAAAACGCGCAGAGCAAAAGCAGAAGGAGGCCGAGAAACAAATCGCCAAAGCACGAGAAGATAAGGGCTTGGCCAAGAAAGCTCAAAACTTCTATGATAAACTGAAAGTAGCAGTTTCACTGTAATATCAGCTACTACTACTACTATTACTTACTTCCCTAGTCTCATACATTCCCGCCAAGCTAACCCCTACACAATAATCATCCATAGGAAGGGCGAATTCGACCTTATCTGGAAAGACATCCGGAAGCACTGCGATCGATATATCGGCTACAAGGGTATGGATGGATCCAACAAGCAGATGGCTATACATGCTATCTGGGAATATCTCTGCAGGAACGCTTGGCGCGACGACAAACCACTGAGACATAGCAACAGCAGTACTCGGGGTAGATTCTTCGGGAAGAAAAGCAACCCTTTGGAAAGTCTCTTTCCTAAGGATTATATGTACAAAGGAAGGCCAATGTCCGAAGCTCTGGACGAATTGGTCGATTGGGCCCAGGATCTGCAAACTGAATTGGAGAGCTATGGGTTTCGAGCTCACATTGATCCAGTGGGACAGCTTGACGAAGGTTTGCCACTGTCTATAGACTCCGGAGTCATGATTTGTGTGAAGCATAGGAAGGATGGATGCCTTGGGTTTTGGTAAGCTGGGCGGAGGAGGAATGGCAGGGGTTCTTCTGTCATGTTGGGGGCGTTTCTAGCAAAAGTTATCATTGGGTGTTTTGGATAGCTGGTAGATGGCTATTTGTGTATGAGTGTTATATAGACTATTGGTTATGTCTCAAGTATAGATAGATGGGCATGAAATTCTTGTGGTTGCTTGTCAGCTTTCTTGTTTTAGCAAAGATATGTGGGCATGTAACTGCAGCAGTTAGTTGACTTGGCTCCAGAGCTTGAAGTTCTTCCTGGGGTCACACAGTGCTGGTAGCGTAGAGTCACTGACCGAGTAATCGTTTTCCAATTTACTTTCTCTGGTAATATAACTATAATGTCAATGCTCGTCCCGTCTACTACCTACTTAGCAGACATCTATTCTCTTGTTCCATTTACCCAAGTGAGTATCAGCAGTATGGAGACCAAATCTATTTTCACATTTCTCTATCTCCTACACAAATATATAACCCATCACATAATCGTCATCATCATACAAGCGAGAGTTCCCAGCGACCAGCACTTTAAACAATCACCTTATGACCAGCAGGCTTCTCCTCCTCCTCACCGAAGATGTCAATATCCCAGCGAGGCTTGTTAGCAATGTAAGGAGTGTTGTAGCGTCTGCGGTCCTTGCCAAGCTCGGACACCTTGGCGATTTCCTCGGGAGTGAGCTCCACCTCCTTGAAGTTCTCCTGGATGCGGGACGGCGTAACCGACTTGGGGATGACACTGTGGCCGCCGACCTGGGACCAGGCCAGGACGACCTGAGCGGGGGTGACGGTGGTGCCGAGGCGCTTGGAGGCAGACTCGGCGACTTCCTTGACTTCGGGGCGGGTGACGAGGAGGGGGACGCCGAAGCCGTTGTTTCCGAAGGCCTGTATTCATTGTATATTAGTCTTTGTTTTTGGAATGATTGTGGAGAGGGTATGGAGGGGGGGCGTACAGAGTAGGCAGTCACGTGGATGCCCTTCTGCTGGCAGTATTCGATGAGCTCGTTGCTCTGGAGAACGGGGTGACGCTCGATCTGGTTGACGGCGGGGACGACACCGGTGGCGTTGATGATGGCCTCGAGCTGTGGGAGGTTAGTAAGTGTTGATGAGCAGTGGGTATGAAGCGACTTACGTGGTGTTTCATGTGGTTGGAGACACCGACGGTGCGGGCCTTGCTCTTGGGGAGCTGGGTCATGGCCTTCCAGGTGTCGACGATGGAGATGTTGTCGTTGATCACGACATCACCGCCCTCAACGGAGCTGTCCTTGACGAGGGGGAAGAGCTCGGAGCCGGTGGTGAAGGAAACGGGCCAGTGGACGAGGTAGAGCTGGAAGATGTTAATGATTGTTGGTGATGTCGATTATCAAGGTACGCACATCGAGGTAGTCAAGCTCGAGCTCAGCAAGGCACTCGTCCAAAGCCTTCTCAACAACGGCGGGGTCGTGCTGGGAGTTCCACAGCTTGGAGGTCTGCGGGGGTTAGTATAGGCAGGAGGTGGGATGTAGGGAATGTGCTCACGATGAAGATGTCCTCACGCTTGAGGCCAGGGACGTCCTTGTAGGCTCTCTTGATGCCCTCGGCGACCTCGCGCTGGTTCTGGTAGCTGCGGGGGTTAGCTTGTGTGATCGATTTGGTGTGTGGAGTGAACCTACATAGTAGCCAGATCCTAGATCGTGTTAGTGACTGGTTATTCACCGAGTACAATTCAAATATGTGACTTACCAAGTGGCGGTAACCGGCCTTCAAGGCCTCGTAGACGGCATCACCGACCTGACCGGGGGCAGACTGCCAGGTACCAAATCCCAGCTGGCTAATTGGGGTCAGCAATTGCGATTGCGCAAGCAGAGACAGGAAATACATACGGGATCTGAGCACCGGAGTTGAGAGTAACCTTCTTTCCGAGAGACATTGTGTAAGAGGATGGAATTCACGAGGAGAATAGAGATAGGAGAGATGAAGAAAGAAGGAAAGACTGAAGGAAGAAGAGGAGGGCGAGCGCGACAGAAATAGGGAGCGCTTCCAGACGGCCGAGGTCCTCCGGTGGGGGTCACATAGCATGGCTCTAGTCCATCATCGAAGTCGATGGAGGAGGTGCCGCGACGATGAGTGGCTGATGATGCTTTTCGAGGGGAAGTTTACCCCGCCAGCAGTAACTGGGACCCCTCGGTGGGGCGTGCGTGGGATGTTCCCATTCCCATTCCATTCATCTTCTGAGATACTTCTCGGTCTGTCGGTTAATTCCGACCCCGAGAAGAGGAAACCATGGTCAAACATGCCACTTATTTCCCGAGAATTGAGGTTGCAATGGTATTCTGCCAATGGCTATTGTGTTTTCGACTTTGATGGAGTACACACCTCCAGCAGTTGATGGCAGTCGAGAGAAACTCAAAGACAGTCAGTGATGATGTCAGGCGGCAGACATTCCTCCGAATTCTCCTCCCCACCAAAACACGTTTCCTCTTTGGGACCCCTACAAATAATTTTCCACCAATCACTGCCCTTATAATATTTTACTCATGCCCCATTACTACTTAACATTATCTGCCAGGCACATGATCTGAGAATTGAGATTTCGACTCAACGATTTACATCTCGTTTGAGAAGTGCCATGGAATCTGGAACATCTCGCTTACACATTTCCTTCTGCATCATTGCATCTCTGCGGGGTCAGACTTCCCCAAATCACCCCCAAATCATCCGCATCAACCCGCTTCCCGCACGGATAATTGCCTCGTTCAGCAGTCCAATCATCCGCTCGGCTTCCTCGCCGACCTCCCCGGCTAATTCTTGAGACGTGCCGCGCTTCCAGTTTCCAGTTCGGTTGAATGAGAAAGTCTAACCACAGTTTTTGTCTCAAGCTGATGTTGATCACGACTGCATAAAGCATGTCGGCCACCTGAACAGATTCAATGCCACCTGCAACTGCCATTATATGAATCTCCGGGGACTGACCGGTAGACTATGTTGTGTCTCCATATTAGCTTTCACAGCGGGGCTGAGTGCTCAGCTCACCAAACATGCTAATGAACGCCCAAGTATAGCCATAGCAGCACGTGAATCTGGATCGTATCAATCGTGCAGTCAATTTATCCGCAACACTATCTACAACACCACCAATCCTGTCCTAGTCCGACATCCGTCAGGGACAGCCCATGGGCCGAGCTGTACGTCCGGGCCTAACCTATGCTTAATGCTGAGGCTCGAAATCTAATCCTGACGTGGCTGCTCTGGTTCTGCAGCTGTCAGGTGCCCTGTGCTTGCTGCAATTGCTGCAAGGAGGTAGACCGGCTGAAGACATTAGCTAGGCACTTATAGTTCGCAATGCCTCATCAACCTCCTTTCTTCGCCCACCAACTCGTTGGGTGGGTGGAATCACCATCTGCTGGAAATCAATACGGTTTTGAGTCCTATCGCTTACTGTTCTGGGCATGGTAGATCATTTCTCCATATTCCGTCCACACTCGAGCACGGCTGGTACTGGCCCACCTTCATTTGCGGGAGCAATAACAGTCAGTATACGTACACCATTGCTGGATGGTCCACACCTGTCATGTTGTACCACCACGTGGCTTAATCTTGCTTCTATTTAGGGGCATGTGGGTTGAGTTTATATTGAAACAGATATCTACTACTAGGACAAAGCTTATTACAACAGGTCAACATAACTATCCTTCAACTATAGAACAGAAACCAGATCAATGTTACCACCATACGGACCATAAGCATGAAGACCCTTATACTAAGTACTGTAAACTACTGTTAGGTCTGAAGTACACTTCTGATTCTTCTGCGTCACAGTAATATCACCCATCACATCGACAGACGCGCGTACTGCATAGTGCCGGAGGATATAAGCAGTGGTGGCTCAGGGCGGCTGCACGAAAATGATATATATTCGCCGGTCATCAACGATGCGATCCACCAGGAGCCGTCCGACAGCTGCGTGGCATATGCTGCGATATACCGACATCTGCATGTGTCCGGATGGGCCCGACGCGCCGGAAATGACCCGTCAAGCATCATTTGGTCGTAGTCCTCATAGGGTGACGTACTCCGTGACGAGTGGCTTCTTGGCCCTGCAACGAGATAGGCAAAACAGCTGGTTCCAAACCAAACCGGCTGCTGTATAACGAGTAAGCATGTTACTGTGGACCTCATCCCTCACCGTCAGTTATTGTACACTGCTCAACCCTTTTCCTGCCTCTCTCCACGACCGTTCTCGGTTGTTCCACCTCCAGATTTCACACTCCAGGTGTATCTGCAAGTAACGTGGCCTAGCTCCGAACGGGGCATGGCTGGATGGCACTAAGGATGGATCCGTCACTAGCGGTTCTTGGGCCGGGGGCAGGCGACCAATAGAGGCGGGGGAACCTCCACCACCAGGAACATCGAGACTCCACTGGGGTTACACTCAACTTCAGATCCTGACGATTAAATGGCCGGAGAAGGGCCAGACTAGCCCGGATGAGGTTAGAGGCGTCGCCAGCTGCCCCTTACTGCGTATTGTGTGAGGCCATGGCGTCCAGCCTGGATCCACCCGAGGGGGCCCTTTTTGGCTTTTCGGCTGGCTGGCCATCCATTTCCTTTCCCTGAGTTACCCTTTCTTTCCCGTCGCTTGAGGCTCACTCACTCGCTCACTCACTCAACTTCACTCCAACTTTGACTTCTTCCATCTCTTCTCTCGTTTGGCTGCGCGCAACATGGCTGATGACGCGACTTAATCTTCGTCTCATGTCTTGATTTGTGACTGCCTTATTGTTCCATTCCTCCCCCTTTTTAATAGCGCCTCCCTCTCCCCTCTGCGCCCGTTTATATTGCTCTCCCGTCCCGTCGCCTCCCCCTCTCCGTGAGGCCCATCCCCAATGTCTAAGAGGCGGCTATTTCGCTGGCCTGCCCGCCGCACTGCCGGCCTGGGATGTCTTGCTCTCCTTGTCACCTCCATGGTATCTTGGTATCTCTACGGTACACGGCCCTATGAACCCCAACCAGGTATCTATACTTTCTCTCTGCAGCTCACGTGGTCCGTGTGCATCATCACCGACATCATGCTGACCCGACCTTGTCTCACCAGTCCACCAAGAATCTCCCAACAACGACCACGACATCGTGACATCCCAACTGGCCCAACTTACCAGTACTTACAGCAATGCGACAAATGACATTGGCTTGGTATTGGCTGCGACCGTGAAAGAGGATCTCACCTGGCTTCTCAACTACTGCAAAGACCAGTACGATCCTACCTAGCCACCAGGCGATAATATACTGATATACCTTGTCCAGCGGCTCAATCCCCTTCATCTACACGACCGACCAGCCCCCTGCTCCCTACCTCCTTGTTCCGCGTACTATTCGCGGCCGCGAAGCCGCCGCCTACCTTTCCTTCGTCGTCGACTTCTACCACCAACTTCCGAAGTATACCATCTTCATCCACTCGAATCTCGACCAATGGCACAATGACCTATTCGGTCCCCACACCAGCCCCGCGCTGAAGAACCTCCGACTTGAGGCCGTCGACGCGCAGGGTTACGTGAACCTTCGGTGCGAGCACGACCCGGGATGTCCCACGAGCGTGCACCCTTGGAGCCCGACACAAATCGACATTGAGAAGGACGACATCCGCGCGTTTTTCCCGGAAGTGTACGAGACGATCCTGGGCGTACCGGCTGAGAAGGTGCCCGAACACATCGGAAATGTGTGCTGCGGACAGTTCGCCGTCAGCCGGGAACGGATCCTGGAACGGCCACGCGAAGATTACGAGCGCATGCTGAAATGGGCGGAGGAGACGGAGCTGACGGATAGCTTTGGTGTGGGATGGGTGTATGAGAAGATCTGGCATATCATTTTCGGGATGGATGTGATATAGTAAGTTGCCTACAACTCGGTGGGGAGGAATGCGGAGAAATGCTAACGGGTATAGTTGCCCCCGGTATGAGCAATGCCGGTGCGACACGTACGGATGGTGTGGACCGTTGGCGTCGGGTGAGACACTGCAGGCAGTGCGAGCGAAGAAGTCATAATCTAATGGATGATTGTTAATGCATGATGTATACTATCATGATTGGGGATATCGGTTGCATTTGGTTTGGTTTTCTTTGTTATGATTCGTGATCTAATGTACAGTTAGATATTCTTATCTTCGTGAATCTTTTTGGACTATTGACCGCTCAGGTATATACATTGGATATGCAAATCATAAACTGCAGCGCGTGCTACTCATGGTTAATAGGTTGCTGATGCGTTCCTCGCACGGGCCCTGCATCTAGCTCAAACATCGGCCGTTGTACTGGACTTCCGGGCGCCTCATGCACGTCACCACTATCCAGCAACGGCACATCCGTCTCCGACGGTCGCCTCCGGGGAATCGGATGCAGGAACAGTGATCGTCCATCCGCATCATTCGGCGGCGACGCAGACGAGCGATCTCCTGGGACCAACGCAGCAGGGAGGGGCGGAGACGTCGACATGGACACCATAGATTCCCTGTTCATCTCGTTCGATGGCGGTGGCGGCGATATCGGTTTCCGGGGAATGGCACTAGCCGCAATAACAGGGTCGCTATTCTGCCTGAGTACGGCGGGATTCGGGACTCCGGTAACAGGCTTCTCATCACCAGCTGCCGATTCCTCGTCTCGATTACTACTACCACCGCCGCCCCGAAGGCCGACCCCGACAGGCGTATACATCATTTGGCTCTGATCATCATTCCGTCTTCTGCGCCGTTTCCGCTGTTTCCGATACATCATCCACAAACCAACAAGGATGAGAAGGACCAGTACAATCACGGCAATGGCGATACCGGCTTTGGCGCCCGCACTGAGTCCGCTGCTGGAACCGTCGGTGCAGGTGTAAGATCCTTGAAAGGCGCCGTTGTTGTCGTTGTCGCGGCGACGGCGGGTATTATTATCGTCGTCATCGTCGCCATCACGAAGAGAGTTGAGACTCGAGCACCGAAATGACCCGCCATGGGAATTAATCACCGTTTGTCCTTTGACCTTATCGAGATCCTCGAATTTGATCCTGCCCAACGTTAAAAAATAATCCATCATAAAGCAAAGGAAACGGAAGACCCACTCGTTAAAAGTCCCCTTTAAAATCAAGCTCCCATCGACGTTCTTCAAATCTTGGAATACAATATCCCTCAACTCCTTGTTCCCCTCGATATCAATCTCCCCGGGAACCTTTTCCAAATCCGGAAACGACAAATTCGTCAAGTCATCATTCCCAGAGATATATATCTTGCCATTCACTTTCTGTAGATCTGATGCCGAGAACGACGTCAATCCGGATACATCCTGGATGGTGATGCCGCCATTGATAGTCTCGACATTGGAGAGGGAGATACTGCCCGTCGCAGAGGAGGAGATAGTCAGGGTACCGGAGAGGGTATCGCACGAGGAGAGCGAGTCCGCATCGGATTGGGAGGATATCGTCGAAGTGGAGGAGCCTATCACATCACATCACCCACTGATTAGTTGCCTGGGGCTTCTATCACGAAGGTTAAGGACAGCACAACTCACAATTAGAGTTATCATCCCCCGCCACAAGCGGTACATGTACCTGCAGGAGTAACCCCAGAACAAGGAGCAAGTAGCGTATGCGTGTTCGTGTTTGGGAGGAGGAATTGAGGTGGCTGTGTAGTAAGGGTATCATATCATCGGAACGCAGCACCACCACCAGTGCACCAAATCGTCAAGAAAAGAAAAGTAATTGAAACCAGGGTATATCCTCGTAACTCGGAACTTTAACTAGCAACCATAAACTCGTCAAGTGGGTATATAGTATTTTGAATAGGTTAAGGTATCAATACATCATTCGACAAGGACCGGACGCATCAACACGAGAAAGTAGGCAGTAGGCAGTAACTCGAGGGTGTAAGTTGTAAGTTGTGAGTGGTATGGGTGGGGGTGGTGTTGAAGAAAAAGAAAGTAAGTAAGTCTTAAACTAGGCTCCTACAGAAGAAGACGGGGATAAGTGCGGAATAAGTACAGCAGACAACAACAATACTAGGTAGTAATTAGTGTTAAGTGGTTAGTTAGTGTAGCATGCATGCAGAGACACCATCATGCAGATTGGAACGGACGGCACACACACACACACACACACACACAGCGCACGGGTCGGCACTCTTCGAGACACAGTAAAACTACTAGTAGTAGAATAAGTCTGTGGGGATGGGTAGTAGCTAACTGACTAGTTGGATGGGGTTGATGTTTGGTTCTTACTTAATAGTGTGTTTGTGATATTATTAGTTTAGTCTCCGACTAGAATTAGGATAAATGGTTGTTGGAGGTGAGGGTGAGGGTGAGGGTGTAGGCAGATAGATATCTAACTACTAGGACTATTCTCTTTAGGGGAGGGTCTAATTCATTATGTAGTGGTATTTAGTGGTAGCGGTATCCCCGATGCAAGTAGTAGCAGCTCGGATGATCAGCTAATTAGCATTAGCTAGAAAGATACTGTGTAAATAGGTGGTTTGTTTCACCTGTTGTGTACATACCTACTGCATCTATTCCTCAGGATAGATAGATAAGTTACACAATAAGGCAATGGAAATTATTCCATGTTATCAAGGCAAGGTAATAAAAAAGCAATTCTACGATACCAGCCAACCCCGAAGAAAAGCAAGCAAGGAAGGGAGAAAATCAAGAAACCCCCGATACTACTACTCCAACTCTCAACACCGCCCCATTCATTAATCTTAATGACCCACTAACGACACCAAGAAAAAAAATCAAGCACAAGCACAAGCATAGAGCAGAATAGAGTGGACTGACTGATCACCACGATATCATCTCATCTCATCTCATATCATATCACTCATCATACCGTTAGCTCAGGTAAATTATTGGCATCTTGCATAAGTGTACACCGCAACCATGACACGACACAACTTCACGGAACCCTCAACCAGTCTACGTCCTGATTGATCGATACTAAATCCAATCAATAACCATAACATTGAACCCTGATTTACCACTTACTATCTATCGATAATCTAAAAATAGTCCACCCATCACATCACAACTTAATCATTCATTCATTAAATTCAGGCACCAGAATTTCCAGCGAAGGAGAAACCAGAAATGAAGCAAGCAAACCCTACCCAGTACGGAGTAGATGGGAATGAATGATTGGAAGCGAGGGAAAAGCGGATGGCGGGTCGGAAACAACTAACAACCTCCCCCGCTTTTGTTTTGTTTGTAATGTTGTGTTGGAGTGTTCAGGCAGAAGAGATTCGGGATGCCCGATTGGGTAGTGATGTCCGATTATCATCATCATCATTCTTTTTCTTTTATATTATTTTAGTATTAGGTTGAGGTGGTGGGAGGTCGGAGATAAACAATTGTGGTGGTTGTATGATTTTATCTTATTCTTTTATTGATCTTATTCTGTTATTGATAGAATTGGTTGTTATTATTATTGTTGTAGGAGCATTGTAGGAAAGGTATGCTGTCGGACATGGATGGTAGCCAAGACACACACACGGGTCACACCCGCATCTAATAAAGTGCCGAGAAGCTTAGGGATGGTAGAATCCCGTCATGGCATGAGGGGAAAGGGGATCTGTGGTCCATGTAGGTACCACTCATTCCAAGTTACTATGGAAGGGCCCTGCAGGCAACTCAATTAATGACTTGCTGGTTGATCGTCTCTCTCCTCGCGACGGCGGATGATTTTCGACCAATTATTTATAGCATGATTTCGGCGGATAACTGAGACATTGCGGTTGAATATTGGCTTTTATTTTTATCTACTGTACGGAGTTCTTAAGTATGCGATTCAGTTTGGACCCTTAGGCAACCCTGATACTCCATACTCTATGGAACATGTGGAGTGTGAGACATAACTCCCCATCGATCCATCTCGGCTAATTCTATATCAAGCACAGCTAAAAGAAGATGCATCATTCGGATCTCCACCAACATAGGTGAAGATCTTCGGATAAGGACAAAGATACGCCGTTCGAGTTGAGCTGCTGTTCGAGCCAGCCACTGCCACAGCAGTGGCTTCCAAGGTATCAGGCACCGTTGAGTTCTCAACCCATGCTCTGAGCGTTTCAAACACATAATCATTAGGATCGAATCCATCACCCCCCTCGCAATGAGCAACTCCAGGTGCTAGGAAAAAGCGGTAATAGTCTGCCACACTGGGATCCAACTCCATCACGCGGCTGTAATAATCCACTGTACCGTTGGTCGGAATCAACTCGTCTTGCATTCCATGCCAAGAAATCATCTTTCCTCCGGCAATTTTGAACCCTGTCAAGTCAAGATTGCGCGTTCCAATAACAGAAGCATATTGGTCAACTGATTCGCGGTAGAGATCGTCAAAGTCTTGTCGCGTTAGGCCTTGAACACTAAAGGATGAGTTTCTAGCCAAGAAAATCCGGGCCCAGTCGGCGCTGATACTAAAAGGTGTCACAGTGCAGTTATCAACCGATGTGCAGGTTGTCGTAAGGAGGGCTGTTAGATCGGCATCATAACCCAGCCCATACCACTCGAACTGATCTTCGAGTGATACGGGTCCATCCCACATGCCTTGGACTAGCTCAGCCATCTTGTCCGTAATGGTAATTTGTCCATCCGATTCGCTGCAATTTACTGTCTGGCCGACAATCGACGACGCTTCATAATGGCATTGACCTGGAAGAGCAATGATTCCGTCCTTCACTCCGTCCAGCAAATCACAGGCCTCGATGGCAGCATCCGTAAATGCCTCGAGGACACATGCAGGCGGCTGTGTATCTGTGAGATGGCAATTAGCATAGATCCTAGAACTCATTGATAGTCAACACACCAAGAAGCTGCGCCAGGAAAGCAGGCCAGAACTCAGCCAGTTGAAATTTGTCCCAATTGATAGCCGGCGAGCCTCCCACAATACCATCAAAGTAGGTCGGAAATCTCTGGGCCATCATGTGTCCCTGTCGACCGCCAGTAGAACATCCATTCCAGTACGAGTACTTGGGCGGCGAACCAAAGTAGATTTCTGTAGCCAGCTTTCCAAGTACAGCCGCCTCGCCTAGTGCCACACTGGAGAAATCCCACAGTGCCGGCCAATTGGTATTACCTTCGCTCACAAAGCCCCAGTCCGCCGTTGAGGCGGTACTATTGTGTCCCCCATCGGTCGAGGAGGATGAGTATCCGGCAGCGACGGGAGCTATGATTTCATCAAGCCCTCCAGCTACCCATCCACCACCCCCGTCCATGAGAAAGCGTGAGTTCCAGCTGCTGGCATCGAGAGGGAGTCCAATATAGGTATTGACAATGTCGTTCTGGCCAGGGTGTGTGTACTGCAATGACACGATGCACATGTCCACTGTCGTCGGCATTTGACCTACGGGTGCTGAGGTGGTCCCACTAGTTAGTGAAGCATTGGTCGCGAAGTTGTGTTCAGCGGTGACATTGAGCGACAGTATATCGATATTGCTCAAGTTGAGAGACGAGAACGTCTCTTTAGTGCAGGGACTTGAAGCTGCGGCTACCCCAGACAGGGATAATATTGACATAGAAGCCCACGACATGGAGCGGAGAATCATGTTGACCGATTCGATGCGTTGACAATGTCTGCGAGGATTTAGTTTGTTAGTATGGCGAAGGACGACGGATAGGAGAACTGCAGACCAGATTTTGCGACAACGATCGCCGCATGTTACCCGTTATGTCGGATGCCAGCTGCAGACCGATTTATAGGAAGAAGGAAGCATCCACCAGCTGCTCTCATAAACAATCTTAACGATGCCCGAGAAGATGATCTTCCTTCGGGAAAGAACAACGGCAATCATAATCCTCCCCCGCAGCTCGCAAGCTCCGGAGAGAAGTCCAGATGATCTGGGAGAGAATAGGGACGTCATCGGTGGACCGACATGACCATACAGAGACCCGCAATATTTGCGAAAGTTCTTTCCAGTGCAATATTCCGTGAAACAAGCGTAGTACTGGTATCACTCTAAAAGAGGAGTAGTTCAGTCTCCAAAGGAAATGCGGAGAGAACATTGGTCAGAGCCAAACGTTATGAAGCCGGATGAAGAATTCGGCATTGATTAGCGTGGTTCGTGCACATGCAAAGGCAATGTTTGCAGACATCTGCACTCGCTCTCCACATTTCGCTCAACTGGTTTGTGGGGTAGATAGTGTTTCCCCGGGCGCGGGGAGGCTCAGGTGGACGGGGGAAAAGTGAGGGGTATTCTGGAGACTATTCAACCATCGTGATATGCTGTTGTGGTAAGGAAAGTTGTGTTATGTTGATGATGCTTCACACATTGCCTCAACAAGACTTCAATAATACCTGTATCTTATTATTCTTTCGAAGGGAAGGATTGGAGTGCAGTTGATGGTGTACCGGGAGGGTTGGTTTCGGTCGGAGAGAATCCGCTCCAGTATTGCTACACACCTTACCTAGGAAGGTTAGTGTCGATTATGTCTATAAAACATGGTTAGTTAAGGGAATTTTAGGCAAAGATCTCACGTAAGATATTTTCGGCAATCACTCTGTAGGCCATACAGACATCGATTTGCCGGTATTAGCTTAGTAATGGGATCCCCTTTGGATGCAAGAAAGCAACAGCGGCAGCTTTCAGTCAAATATAGCTGTTGGTATGAATCATGTGATCGAAATGATTTGCCAGCTGCACATCCCTGTGTAGACGACAAGCCTTGCCTACTGTGCATTAGTGCCAAGAGCCGTTCAAAGTCTAGATTTCCTAAGGTTGTTTACAATCAGGGAATATCGGGAAAGGCGAATATCCTTTTGAATGATTCTTTTTTTTGGATCCAGGTGTAGGTTGTATCGGGGTTCTCGGGGTTCTCGGGGTTATTACCTGGGCTACTACCATCAGATCTACTACCGGACCTGCTATGGAGGCTACTATTATGAAGCGATAACAGGATCAACACCTTGGCGCGT